CTGCTGCTGCTGCTGCTGCTGCTGCATAGCCATCTGCTGTTGCTGTTGCTGCATCTGAGCCTGCTGCTGCTGCTGCTGTGCGGCCGCGTGCTGTTGTTGAGCAGCGTGCTGCTGCATCTGCTGAGCGTCCTGCTGTTGCTGCATCGCATGCTGCTGCTGCAGCTGTTGCAGCTGAGCAGACGCGGCATAGAACGCAGCGACGTTCTCCGGACTCGGCGCCGAGGGCGTCTGCGAGACGGCCGGCGAGTGACGCGAGAAGCCCGCTCCAGCTGCGGGCCAGTGCGCCTGCACTTGCTCGTGCGAAGCGGGAGTAGGACGAGCCGCACGAGCTGCACGACGCGAGGGCGTTGGGTACGGCGTGGCAGTGACGGCCGGCACGTGGCGCGTGCCCGAAGCGCGACGCGCAGAGGAAGACGTCGAGTTGTTCCACAGCGCTTGAGGCGAAGGCGTCTGCTGAGCACGTTGAGGCGCCACACGCATGGGCGGGGCATGGGCGTGTGCTCCCGGAATCGGCGGCGGCAGGTAGAGACCCAGGTGGCCGCGTGCACTGCCTGCTGCGAGCGAGTAGTACGAGAGCGGCACGGCGTGCGAGAGGCCCACGGCTCCATTCGAGGTGTTGACGCTCTCGTTGCCACGGTAAGGCGCCACGAGGACCTCAGGAGTGAGGGCGTGGGAGAAGGTAGAGTGGAATGCCTGCGCTGCATACTCGTCCTGCGTCGTCGCAGAGGGACGAGCGACGGGCGTGCTGCGCAGCGAAGGCGCGGCGCTGCTGCTGTGCTGCTGTGGTGCCGAACGAGCATCGGTGGGAGAGACCGAGGCAAGCAAGTCGCTGTATGCGGGCTGACGCTGCTCGTACGCCCGCCGCTTCGTCGGGCGGCCGGAGCCGCTGGCGCTGCCGTTCCACTCGACGGCATGCACGGGCGACTCGATGCGCGTGCGCTCGAAGGCTCGCTTCATGCCCGCGATCGAAGCACTGCCGGACGCCGAGCTCGACGGCCGTGGCACGTCGGGCGAGGCGAGCGAGCGGACGCGGCCGTCGAGCTGCTGCGGAGCCTGCGGTGCAGACGGCGGCGGAGGCGGCGCCAGATGGTCGGGCGTCCAGCCGCTGGCCGACATGGACGGCGCCGGGACCTGGAAGGTAAAGTCGGAGGAGAAGGCGTGCGGTGCCTCGACGGACGAGTCGGGCGGCGACGGCCCGAACGAGGAAGCATCGGGCACCGACGGCGGAAACTGGAAGTACGGCTGCGTGGCGAACGGCGGTGTTGCCGCGCCCGTCGAGGCACGAGCGGCCCACGAGCCATCGGCCGACGAGTCGCTGGTGGTGAGCGACGTGCGTGCCGGCAGCAGCGACGATGCGGCGGCGTGGCCGAGCTGGATGTGACTCATGCTGTGCCGGCCTTGCGCCAGCGAGCGGTGCTGGTGCATCGTGCGGCGCACCGCTGCGTCGCGCGTGGAGCGCTCGATGGCCTGCGAGCGCTGCTCTGCCAGCAGCTCGACGGCGACGAGCCAGCGCCGGTAGTCGTCTGCTGTGGCGTAGAGGCTGGGCAGGCCGAGCCACATCTCCACCTCCATGCGGTTCAGCTCCTTGACGGGCACCTTTGTGATGTCGCTCCACGTCGCCGCCGTGTAGCTGCTGTCGTCCTGCATCTTGTTCGCCAGACTCAGCGCGCAGATGGCAAGGCGGTACTCGCTGCCTTCCTTGCCGCGCAGCGAGCGATGCTGCTGCCGCAGGCGGTGGATGTAGAGCAGCGCCAGCAGAATGACGGCGTTGCTGAGCTGCGTCGTGTTGAGCACCTCGCGGGCAAAGGCCACGAAGCGCTCCTTGGGGCTCAGCCCCAGCTCGGCGTCGGCGCGGCTGGGCGCAAAGCCGTCGGGAGCCGGCGTGTACCAGATGTAGCTGGACGCACACGACCATGAGCATGGTGAGCATCAAGCGCGCCTTCGCGACTCACCAGACCATTTGTGCGAACCACTCTGCCACCTGCGCCTGCGACGGCTGCGACGTTGCGCCACTGGCGGCGTCGTCGCGCTTGAAGACGGGCTCGGGCGGCTCGTTGGCCAGCTCGCTGGCCTGCGGGTGCGAGCGCGAGTAGCTGTGGCGCGCCGATGCGGGCCGCGAGCTGCGCGAGGGCTGCTGCTCGGCCGTCCAGGCGGCGGCAGAGGCAGAGGCGCCGTCGCACGACGCACTTGGCTGCATGTGCAGCGAGTCGAGGCTGGCGCAGCGCACGTCGTGCGGGCCAAGCGGCGGCGTGAGGGTGTGTGGGTGTACGGCGTGGTGCAGCAGGGCGGCGTCGTCGAGGGCGTACGACTGCGCCTGCTGCTGCTGCTGCCGCCAGTGTGCCACGCTCGGCGGCGACGGCGGCGCAGCACTGGCGCCGGGGAAGGGCAGGTAGCGCGGGCTGTGCATCTCGGCGGCGGTACGAGGGCTGTCGCTGCGCGGGCGGCGCCGCGGGGGACTGGCGCTGCGCCGCTCGCAGGCTGCGTCGCTGGGCCGCGACGACGGCGCCGCTGCAGTGGGCCAGCGGGCGTGAGCGAGCGAGGAGGAGGAAGGCGTGCGCGACGCGGCGCCCAGCACGGGGCGCAGGTGGAGATCGGCGGCGGCGGCGGCAGAGGCGGCGACGACGACGTGCGACGGCTGCGCGGCGGCGGCCAGCAGCATTCTCGAGGAGATGGGAGAGCAGAGGCAGAGACGGTCGTGAGGTGGGCGGGCGGCGTCAAGAGGAGCGAGAGGCGGGTGCAGGTGGCCGCGCGGGTCGAGGAGCGTGAGCGCCAGCCGCCGGCCCAGCCAGCTGGAGCAGGCGCAGGTGAGGCGAAGAGGGCCCAAGGAGGCAGGCGAAGCGGGCGGCGCCAGGGGCAGCCTGATTGGGGGATGTGACGATGCAGAGAGGAGCAGGAAGAGGAGCAGGAAGGGCAGGGCCGGGCAAGTGCAACCAACGGGTGAGGAGAGCGAGCGTGGGCTGCCCGAGCCGGACGGACGGCCCTGGATCCGGTGGAGGAGGCTGAGGGGGCAGCGCAGGCAGCGGCACAGGCACACCGCGCGCGTGAGGACGCCGGCGCAGCGCCGCGCCGAGGGGACGGCGCCGTGAGCCGCGGCGGCAGGGCGCCGCGAGGAGCACGCTGCCCAGCGCCGCCGAGCCGTGGCAGGCGCGGCAAAACGGCGGCGGCGGCGTGGTGCGGCGCTGCAACGAGCCCTTGCTGCGCTGCTGCACCGGCAGCGGCCAGCAGCGCAGCGCCTTCCGGCTGCACCTGCACCGCACGGCCGCAACCGCGGCAGCCCGTGGCGCGGATGGATGCCCGACGAGCGAGCGAGCCGAGCGGAGCAGCAGCGGCAGACGCAGGCGCGGCGTGCATGCGTCTCTCTGCGCTGCGCTGATGCATCCTGCGCCGGCGTGCAGCAGCGTGCCTCGGCGGCAGCGCTGCAGGCCAGCAGCGCTCAGCAGGCGGTGCGCGGGCCAGACCAGCAGATGCGCCCGCCGCCGAGGGCCGTCGCCGCGCGCCGCGGGCCCACAGCCCAGAGCGCGGGGAGCGCGCGCGGCCCTCACTTTGGCTTTTTTGCTCGCCTGAGTGCATGTTTCGCAGCCAGCTCAGTCCGCCGCCGCAGCGGGTGCAGCAGCAGCAGGAGAGGAGCGAGCGAGCACAGCAGAAGGGCAGGCCGCCGCTGAGCAGCTTGGAGGAGAGAAAGCGCCTCTCAGCCGGGCCGCCGCTCGTCATGCCGCTGCGCTCACCTCAGCGGGCACACATCGCCTCATCATTCGCATGCGCCCTTGCGGCGCTGAGTCTCGAGCGCAGCATAGAAGGGCGGTGCTCTGCGCGCTGGCTGTGTTGCGGCGCCTGCGCCCGTCGCGGGCATGGATTGCCGGCGCGGGGTGCGCCGGCGGGCGCTGAGGACAAGCATCGAGCGCGCGCGCGGCGCGGCGCGATGGCGCGCAGGAAGGGGGGGCATTGAGCCGTCTCAGGAGCAGGCGCAAAGACAGCGAGAGGGGCGGCGAGGCGGAGTGCGGCGCTAAGGCAGCGTTCAGCGCCCGCGCCACAGCGCCGCACGCACCCCCCCATGGCGCCGCGAGCGAGGAGGGGGCCGCGCGGCAGCAAGGACAAGCGCTGCGCTGCCACAGCCGCCAGCCGCATGCACCACGGCAGGCCGGCGTTCGCAGCAGCAGCGGCAGCGGCAGCTCTTGCTGCGCCCCCTCTGCGCCTGCACAGCGCGCAGCTCGCAGCGGTCGGTGACAGAGGTTTGCCCACCCCTCTTGCATGATGCAACGCAAGCCTCTTCGCCTCGTTGCCGTTGGCGTCCGCGGAAGCACCCTTTTCTTGAAAGCCTCGCGCGCGCGGCTTTCGCTTTGAACGCACAGGGCGAGGAGCATCTCCGGCAGCAGAACGAAGGACGGAGCGCGATCTTCCAGCTCGGGCTGAATGTGACACGAAGCCGCGGCACCGAGCGTCAGGCGAGGGGCCACATGACCCCTGAGCACGGCGAACAAGGGCTTGAGTTCGCACTTTGCTCGCCTCCCTGCGAGGCGGTTAGTGCCGCGCCGCGGGCTGATGCGCACCAGCGCCAGCCAGCAGCAGCGCCTCGGCAGCGGGAGGCACAGCAAAGGCCGCAGGCGATGCCGGCAGGCATGACTCAGGCGGCAGCATCGCGGCATGGCTCGCAAATCCGAATGCACGCCGAGTTGGCGTTCCGGCTGGGCGCCGACTCGCACCAGCCACGAGGGGAGCAGCATGACGCTGCGCTCCATCGCAAGGGCCGGAGGAGTGTGATCTTGGCGTGGCGGTGCAACCGCGGCCGGCACAAGGCGCCTCTTCGCCCTCTTCCTCAGGGGGGGCAATGACGAGCCGGCTTCCGGGCCTGAGGCGATGGGTGGCGCAGGCCGGGAGTGCCAATTTGCGCGGCAGAGTGTCAATTCTCGGCCATACGCGAGCCCCTCGTCGTTGATCAGCCTCCGCCCGCGGCGAGGAGAGCCCGTTCCGGTGCAATGGCACGCGAGGCACTCATCAGACTCAGCTCCTCGGGAGAGTTGAGCCGAAAATCAGCTCAGCATCGAGCCGCGCCTTCGCCGTCGATGCGCAGAGGCGTCGGCACCGGAACGAGGAGAGGAAGCTCTAGTGCCGTGGCGTGCATGGCGCTGCTGCGAGCTCGAGGCTGGATGCAGCACCCAGCACGGGCATCCGGAGCGCGCGGGCTGGCGGAGTCACGAGCGGCGGCACGGCGGGGGCGGCCCGCCCTGATCGACCGTCCGTCCATTCGTTCCTCCTCTGCGGCTCGCTCACAGCACCAGCTCGCAGGCTCGTTCCGCCGCGCCAGGCTCATGCCTCGATCTGGACGCAAACCCCTCCTCGCGCCGGGGCGCAGCAATGCGAGGGCGAAAGGGCCGTGCTGAATGCATGGCTCATGCAGGGGAGTAGCCGAGGCTGACTGGCCGGCCCGCGGGCGGTGCTCTTTGCGGTGCAGGCCGCGGCAGAGGGGCAAGCGCGAGGGCGAGCGAGGTCGCTCATGTGCATGCTCCCTGTGCTTGCGCCTCCGCTCCTCTGCTCCACGCCGACGCCTGCCTTAGCCCGCTCGCTCGGCGCCACAGCACGCTCACCGACACGCGCTTGTTGCTTCGCGCGGCGGGCGGCGGATGGCGTTGGCGCAGGCACGGACAGCTCTGCATGACAGGAGTGCAGTCAGGTTGCAGGCGAGGGATGCGCCGGCGCAGCCGGGTGCCGTGTGGCCGCCGTGGACCGGCCGGCGCGGCGAGGAGAGAAGGGCCGCAGGGGCAAAAAGGTCGGCCGCGCTGGCGGAGGCGAGATGCGACGGCAGCAGCAGCATGCAGAGGCGTCGCAGCGGGCCGCGCAGCCGAGTTGCGGAACGGCACCGGGGCGCGGCGCGGTTGTTCCGCCCGGCCGCACCTCGCTCGCTTTTTCGTGCTCGTCACATGGCTCGGCCTCGGCATCCTGCGCCCCTGCGCTCCCATGCTGCGTGCCTCGCTTGCTGCGATGCTGCGATGCCCGCAGTCGTGCCGCCAGCAGAGCAGCTCAAGCCGCGCCTTGCTGCGCCGAGGAAGCTCGCCGCGGCCGGGAGCGGCGTCTGCCGACTGCAAGCGTCCGCACGGCGGGTGCTGTGCAGCGCGTGAGCTGCTCGCGCTGGCGCTGGCGTCTCCGTCCGGGGCGAGAGCGCCTCGAATCAAGCGCCGCTGGCGGTGCCGCGAGAGTTTGGCATGCAGCGAGCAGCGCAAGGTGCCTCTGCCTCGCATCAAGCCCCCCCACCTGAGCTGAGTAATCCAGCGTCTAGGCGCCGCGAGTTAGCGCTCAGCGCTAGGCCGATGTTCAAGGACGACCTAGGACGAAGCACAGCGATGCTGTCAGGCGCAGAGCAAGAGCAAGCCGTGGCACGGCGCGGGATGGAGGCCGAGTCTCGTCGCTGCAAGCGGCGGTGGAAGCGGCGGCTGCGGTGTCGGTGCTCGAGACCATGGCGTGCCCACGCTTGCGTCTCGCTGTTCGTCGCCGCTCGCGCGCCAAGGCAGCGACCACACCGCATGGACGACCTCGCTCGCTGACTCAGGCGCGCCGCAGAGCAGCTCTCCCAAGTCCGCACGGTCGTCCTGCGAGGTCTGCTCGCCAGCGGCCAGCCGACGGACGCAAGCATGTCGCGGCGCAGCCGCAGCGGCATCCGAGGCTGGCGACGCCGAGATCTCGCGTCTGCCCGCGAGACTTCTCTGTGGGTGCCGGACAGTCATGCATGACGCTATGATCGACTTTGAGTGTGCGAACGGCGGCGCTCGGCGGCGGCCAATCTCATGCAGCGACGTTGGCATGCAGCGCACTGCATGGGCGGCGGCGAGAAGGAGAGGCGCGGCACCGGGAGGCGCGCCGAGCGACGAGCGACGGCGCAACGAAGAGCATCCGGGCCATCGCGAGGGGGTGCCGGCTGCGGTGCCGTGCTGTGCTGCGACGCCTCTCCGCTCGGCGTGCCTGAGCGCTGAGGCGTCCCTCCCGGCGGCGAGCTGGTGCCGCGGAGTTGAACAGCAGCGCCCGCACACCCGCTGCAAGCTGCGCGCTGCGTCGGTGCCCAGGTGCAGCCGCAGCCGGGGAGCTCTCGACGAGACGGCTTTCAGCCTCCGCTCGAGGCACCGCTGCGCGCGTGGGCCAGCGGCGTCGGCAGCGGCGTGCCGCCATCCATGCACCGCTCGCTGCGCTGCAGCAGACCCTGCGTCCTTCGCTCGCCGGCAGCTCGCAGCGGGCTCGTCGCAGATGCAGCGCCTCAGGAGCAGGCGAAGGGGTGATCGCACCGCCTCCGGCTTTGCCACTCCGCGAGGGCCCACGAGGCGCGCAGCAAACAGCAACTTGCGGTCGTGCGGCTTGCCGTGAGAAGGCGCCTGCGCCGAGCGCTGCATCTGCATGCAGACGCACGCAGCGCAGAGAAGGCGACCCGAGCTGATTGACTCGACGAGCTCGTCGCCAGGCCGCTCCGCCGGGCGCGCGCGCGTCCAAGTCCGCTCCCGGCGAGCGCCAGCTGCAGGAGGCACCTCGCAGGTCGCACCGCAGTCTCGACCGCGGCAGAAGCGCATGGCAAGGCGGCGACCGCTGAGGTGCAACGCCATGGCGCTGTGTCGTCTGCGCCTCCTCGCCTGCGTTGGCGGGCCATCGCGTGCGGCGCGCGCAAGCGCCACCGTCTGACGTGGAGCATCTCGCAAAGTTGCGCCGTGTGCCTGCCGCAAAGGCACCTCGATGCAGGCCTCATGCCGTCCGGCGGAACCAGTAGGTCGTCTCCACACGGTGCGCAGTTCCTCCTTTGTTGCGCTGGGAACGGCCGCGACCGCGCGGCTGAGCCTGGACGAGCAGGCAGCCTCGATCGCGAGGAACGACATTTGCATGGCCAAGACGCGGAGACGGGGGCCGCAAGACGCAATGCTGCTGCCCAGCGAGCGCCGCAGAGATGCTCCATGGCTCGCTTCCCGTCCCGGTCGGACTGTCAAGGGGCACGCTAAGACGAGCTTGAGGCCGAGGGGTCTGCGTCTCGGCCGGTCGACGTGGCAGCCCGCAGACGCAGCGGCCGAGGTTGCCGCCTTAGCGTGGCCGAGCTGCTCCACCTTGCGCTCGGCTGACAGCGCAGGTGGCGCTGCTCAGGCACCCGCAGCGCGAGCAAGGCGCGGGAGTGGGCGGCGCAGAAGAGATGCCGTGGCCGACGGGCCTTGGCGCCCACGTCTTCGTCCTCCGCCGTGATGCGCTCCTCCGGGTGCGGCCGGCTGCACCCACGTCGCACCCCGAGCCTCGGCTTCGTTTTGCGGTCCTGCGGCCATGCGGTGTCGGCTCGCGCAGCTCGCGCTGCTCGGCAGCCGCTGCAGGCGAAAGCGCGAGCGCGCCTTGCGGTGCTGTTGCGCCGGCGAGACGGCGAAACGCTGCAATCGAGCGCGGCAGCCGGCCTCGCTGCAATGCCGCTGGCGCTGCAACCTCGCTCGCGCTGCGGCGGGCTGCACCTTTCATGCCCGTGCCTCGCGTCGATCGAGGGCATCGACGCGTCGAGCGCAAGGAGACGCGTACAGTGGCGTGTCGAAAAAGTCGTCGAGACGCCGCTCTGCCGCATGCCGGTGTCGAGCCACACCCGCTGCACCTGCAGATGTTCTCCTCGTCGTCAGGCCTCGGCGTGCTCAACGGCAGGTGCAGGAGAGGTGTTGCATGATGCTCTAGCCCGTGCCTCGGCTGTTGAAGGGGGCAGAGACCCTCCAGCACGTCCTACTGAGTAGGTTCTCGGTAGGGCCCTAGCAGACGCCTGTCAGGCAACCTGCTATGATTTTCTAGCGGACCAGACCAGGCAACGTGCTAGGCCGTCCGTCAGCCGTGTGCTACCGTCTGTTCAGCGTCTGCTAGGCTGCTGCTAGGCTGCTGCCGGGCGCTGCGAGCTGACACGGAGCTGCTGGGGCCTATCGAAACCCCGCTGTGTAGGACGTGCAGAGCGGCAGCAAGGGGCTGCGTGTGGGGGCGCCGAGCGCAAATATGAACGCAGCTGCTGAACCTGCATCAGGCGCCGCTACGATGAAGTGTTGTAGGCGGAGCCATGCGCTGCTGTCGGCAAGCCGGATGACCTCGGCGACGCTGCATCGCTCGACGTTCCGCCGAGGCTCCTCGAAAGCGGAACGGCCACGCCAAAGGCATCAGCAAGGAGGTACGCGAGCGTCAATCTGCATTCGTCGTCGATAGACTCAGTGGCTAAGAGCGTCTCCGTGTCCGTCGGCCGAGCAAGTCAGATGCAGCGCGAAGCCGGTGCGGCAGCGAGTCGAGCGTGGCTTCTGCCGCTGAGACAAGACTACCCAAGGCATGCGCGCCTGGCGAAGGGCGGGGACGAGCACATGCCGCTAGCTTCGTACCCGAGCAAAGAATGGTCGCGCTTGCGGACGTGGCGCCGAGCTGGGCAGCGAGGACGGTCCGTCGGAGCGCCGGTCTTGATGGCCCCGAGCGCTGCATGCGACACTGCGCGCCGGCGGGGTCCTGGCCTCGCAGGAGCGGCAGAATGATCTCTCGACGCGGCGCTCTGCAAGGGCGAGCGGTCAAGCATGCGGCGAAGGCCGGCGGCAAGGAAGCTTGTCTAAGCGCATAGTCAGCATCGACGGACGCCAGTGAGCGGCTCACCGTCGATGGGTGCTCCTCGTCGCGACACACACGTGACAGTTGCGACAGCGATGGAACGCGGCGCGGCAGGCTCTGTCGAAGCACGCACGACTCGGAGTGGCTGCTCGCCGGACGTCGCGCAAGGGAGATGCTTCCAGCACGTTACGAAGCTATGCTTTCATTCCCCTGGCGCGGGTGAGGCAGGCAGGAAGCGCATGGCGGTATTGAGGCAAGGGGAGAGGCCAGGGGCTCGACGTCTGCTCACACTGCGCAGCAGGGGAGTCGCGCCGGCGCACGGGCGCCGCACCCACCGCCCGCCTCCACTTCAAGTTCGCAGCGTCCTTCTCGCCATCACCGCAACAGCGTCCTCCTTGCTCCGGCAGCCAGCACGATGCCGCTCGCCGCCGTCGCCCAGCTCACGAGCTCCGCCAGCATCGCCGCCAACCTCTCCGCCGCGCAGTCGCTGCTCAAGCGAGCCGCCAGCGCGGGGGCACGCGCCGTGTTCCTGCCCGAAGCATGCGACTTCATCGCGCCGGCCGCCGACGTGCCGGCCTTGGCGGCGTCGGCCGAGGCACGCAGCTTTGTGGCCGAGGTGGCCAAGGCGGCAAAGGAGCACGGCGTGTGGGTCTCGATGGGCGTGCATGAGATGGGCGAGGAGAAACGCTGCTGGAACACCAATGTGCTCGTGGATGCGCAGGGAGAGGTGCGCGAGAGGTATCGCAAGGTGCGTCGGGCAGCGAGCAGGCGGCGAGCTAGGCGCATTGGAAGCAGAGGATCATTAGTGCCAGTGTGGCTGAGACCACTCTCCTCAGCTGCACCTCTTCGACGTGGACATCGCCGGTGGCCTCAAGATTCTCGAGTCGGGGACCACGATCCCCGGCAAGCAGCTGCCAGCCGCCGTTCCCTCGCCCCTCGGACAGATCGGCGTGAGTCTTGCGTCTGACTGCTCACCATGGCGATCCCGCTGAGCGCCTCCCGCATCCAGCTGCAGACATGCTACGACGTGCGCTTCCCTGAGGCTGCGCTTGCACTGCGACGACAGGGCGCCGAAATCCTGACGTACCCCTCGGCATTCACTGTGCGGACGGGCGCTGCGCACTGGGAGCTGCTGCTGCGAGCCCGAGCCGTTGACACGCAGTGCTGGGTGCTTGCCGCTGCACAAGTTGGTCAGTCGGCGAGACCGGAGCGCGGATGTAGGCTTCTCACCGGCCAACGTTGACGGGCCCCATGTCAGGCGCTCATCCTGGTTCCAAGCGTGTATCGTACGGCCATGCCATGATCGTTGATCCGTGGGGCAGCGTGGTAGCTCAATGTCCGTGAGTTCGCATGCTCCGTGCCTGGCGCAGGCTCGGCGCTGACACCTGCTCGAGTAGCGACACACAGCCGTACGAGCCGACCTTCTGCGTGGCCGACATCGTGAGTTGCTTGCTTCTCTGCTCGCCGATGCAGGCCGTCGCTGATGCTCTGCCCCAGGACCTCACACATCTCAGCAAGCTGCGCGCCGAGATGCCGCTGTGGGAACAGCGGCGAACAGATGTGTATGCCGAGTTGTAGACGGCAGTCGTTGTACTCTGGACTGCATGTCATCTGCAGATTCGGCGGGCGCTCGTCAGGCAACGGGAGATAGCACATGGTATTCACAAGGCGTGCGTGAGAGATAGGCGCGCGGGGCGTGTAGAGAGAAGAGTCGAGAGTAGAATGGGGCGAGCAGGGCGGACGGACGAGACGGCGAGGCACCGCGGGCTGGCTTCGTTGCAGGCGAGACGGCTTTGGACTTGAGGGCGTGGCGCCATCCGGAGAGAGATGACACGCAACGCGCAATGACGGAAAGCGGCAGGACGTGCAGAGGGACGTGCTGAAAGGACCGGGGCAGTCAAGGAAGCGAGGAGGCGGGGTGTGGAAGACGAAGAGTGGATGTGGATGGAGCTGGGAGGAGGGCGGTGCGTCAGTGCTGAGAGTGGTGGAGTCACAAGGAGCGGTCGAAGGGCCGGGACAGGCGACGAGGCTACGCTTCCCGCAAAGCTCGCGCGCAACAGCACTGTCAACGGTGCATGCTTCACTGTGCATCTCTCTGCAGAAGAGACGGCCCATACGCAAGCGCTAGCCCTTCGCAGGCCCGAGGAACGTCGCGGATCTCTCGTCTGCTCGATTCGCTCGAGCCCAGCCGTGCCTGCGCGTAGACCCATCGTGGTGCGCACAAGCTGCACGGCACTGCGACATACGCAGCACGGTAGCATGCGTGCGCTGGGCATACAAGCGCAGCTCCAGTTCGCATAGCGCGAAGCTCTACGAGACTACCGACGCCATGCAACGAGACCCTGCGCGCAGCTGGGCAAAGCAATCGTCGCTCTGAGCCGACGCACGAGTGTCTGCAGCTGCCACTCGATCGAGCAGATATATGCCGCGACTTCCTCACCATGCTTGCGATGGGCCCAAACGCCGGCAGGCAAGGTGACGCGAAGGTGCGCACATGCGGCGCGACAGCGCCATGCCCTACATTGAACCCTATCAAGACCGTTCCTGACCCGTCTGACGCTGCAAGGACCGGACGCAAAGACTCACCGAGAGTGGAGGAACTGGTGAACGGAACGAGGAGCTAGAAAGCGCGCAGCGCTAGATCGCACCACGGCGCGCGACGACGGTGGATGGAGAGCGATGGCGCGCAGGGTCTGCTACCATCCCGTGCCTTCGCTCTGCTTCTCCTCCATCTTGCGCGCGTGGCACGCGCTCCAGCTCTCTCTGCGCGCCTAGCCCAGCCGGTTCTTGTTCTCCCGCTCGGCCTGCTTGAGGCGCTCCTCGAGCGTCTTGCTCTTGTGCAGCTGGCTGGCGGTGAGGCGCTCGCGCTCGCTGTTGGCGGCGGCGCGGTCCGAGTAGCGCATGCCGTCGGCGACGCTGCCGTGGTAGGAGGAGGTGGTGCGCTGCAGCTCGTTGCCCGTCTTGCTGCGGTTCGTGTCCGTGCGCTTCATCTCCTTCTTCGACGGCGAAGACATGCAGGAGCCCTGTGTGTGGAGTGGTGAGCTGCATGTGGAGACGGCGCGCGCGATAAGCATGCGGTGCGCACCATGGTGAGTGAGGTGTGGGGTGGTGCGAAGGGTGGGGTGTGTGTGAGGCGTGGGTGCGCGTGAGAGCGAGTGTGAGAGGATGATGGGGGTGGGAGTGATCGGCTGAGCGCGCCTCGCCGATGTATAGCCTCGCTGCGCGGCTGACCAGGCGGCGGCCGGCGGTCAGGAGAGCGGGCGGCGGGCGCGGCGGATCTGCTGCGCCGGCAGCGGCACGGCAGCGGCAGCGGCACGGCAGCGGCAGCGGCACGAGATCGAGCACGGCGGCGGCGGCGGCGCGCAGATGCAGCAGACCGCTCTCGTGCCAGGCCGTCCCCACGCGCCGCGGCGGCGTGCCGCTGCGCCTGATGGCGCCGCCCCTCTCACGCCGGCCCCAACTCCACGCTCCCACACAGCGAGCCGTCGCAGCATGCCTCTCTCTGCGTGCTGCTGCTGCGGCGAGAGTCCTCGTCCAGGCTGCAACTGCGCTGCGCACACGCCGCCCGATCTGCCTCTCTGCCAAGAGACGCGCTCGGGCTTCTTCTGCCGAAGCAGCCTCGTCGTGGAGCGGCCCGTGGAGGTGGCAGGCGGCGGGCGAGAGGCGGTGCAGCGGCGCATGCGGCGCTGCGTCACCGTGGCGCCAGGCCGGCGGCTCGGCGGGCGCGGCGCTGCGCTCAGAGCGGCGCCCTTTGCCGCCCACGGCGCCGCCTCGAGATTGTTCGAGACGCCGAAGGATGATCTTCCAGAGCGACGCCTCTCGCTGCCCCTGACATCGCTGCTGAGCTCGCAGGAGATGCTCGTCCATGCCGAGCCAGCAGCATGCTGTGAGGCCAAGGGATCGCGAAGCAGGCGGCCGCCGGAGCATGCTGCCTCTCGAGCCGGCGGCTGAGGCTGCGGTCACGCGCGCGGGCGCGCCCCTCTTTCCTGCTGGCGCAGCGCTCGACATCTGCGCTGCTGGCTGTCGCTGCTCCATCTCGACCCCACGACGCCCTCGATCGCCTTTCGCTGCGCCCGCAGAAGGCGCTCGGCGCCCTCTGCAGCGAGCCGCTTCGGGCTCGTCGTGTGACTTGTGCGAGGAAGCAGAGCGTGGGACAGTGCGCACGTGCCCAGCCGAGCGCTGCCTGCCGCTTCTTCTCAACGATCTGCGGCGCTTCTGTGCGTCATCCTCTCGCAGGATGAGTGCACGACGGTGCATGTGCCGCCTGAACGTTGCGCTGCTGAGACAGGACAAGGGTCGAAGGGGAGCTCGCCGGTGGAAGGCACCGCGCTAGCCGTCTCGCAGCCGGCGGCTGAGCGGCTGCGCGCGCCATGCGCGTGGCCGTCGCGCGCGGCGTTCTCACCGCGCAGGGCGTCCTTCCCTCACCACCACCATCCTCTTCCTCCAGCATGATCTTCCGCCTCGAGGCGCTCCGCCTCCTCGGCACGGCGTTTGGCGGTGCGGTGCTTGAGCGCACCTTCTTTTCTGCACCTGTACGTGCCCTACTTGCCCCTCTGCTCGCACGGCGCTGATGCCCTCCACTTGCTCCGCTCGCAGAAAGGCTCGCTGCGCACCCTCGTCTCGTCGTGCCGCCTGCCGGTGCGCCAGGCACTCGTGACGGACGTGACGCAGGGACAGTTCAAGCTGCTCGATGACTTCTTCTGCATCGCGCTGCCGTTCTGGAGGGAACTGCAGGGAGACCGCGTGGGCCTTGGGGTGAGTGCGGCGCGTGCAAGTGGTGGAGCAGGATGGAGCGTGGATCAGCGGGCTGGGCTGGGCACGGCGTTGAGTGGCCCGGAGCTCGACCCGTGAAGCTGGCGAGTGACCCGCCGTGTCGTGCCAGGCATGCCGTGTCTTTGCTGACACGCGCTCCGCAGGCGTCGTGTCTGCTCCTCTCGGCGCTGCTGCCGACGATGGTGCACCTGACCTACACGTCGATGTCTCCCAACACGCGCTCTTCGCTCGGCGTCATGATGCCCATTTTCGTGGCGCTGGCTAGCCAGTTCGTCGGCTACGGCCCCTCGCTGTTGTTCGTGGGGCTGCCGCCGTATCTGCAGGCGCTCTACGCCCAGGCATCTTCGGAGAAGGTCATGCCCACGCTGCCTACGCCTGCGCCGGGCATCTACGCTTGCAACTTGGCGCTCATCGGCAGCTTCGCCACGTGGCTGCTGCAGCAGTTCTTCGACGTGCAGTCGCGGCAATGGACGTGGGCCAACCTTGCGTTCCAGGCCTATCCGCTCGCCATTCTGGCGCCGCTGCTGCTCCTCGGCGCGCGCGAGGTGCCGAGGCCCAGCAGCGAGGGGGATGCGCGTCTCGAGCTGGCATCGTACGGCGCCGCAGAGGTGTCGTACTGCTTCGAACGCACGTGGGCGTACAAGCGCCAGTCGGCACTCGTCTCGACGTTCGTGTACTGGTACGGCATCAACCGCCTCTATCGCGGCTGGACGGCCGACGGCGCTCGCCTGACGGATGCCTCGCACCTCACGCTCTGGAGCTTTGCGGGCACCGTCGTCTTTTTGCTGCTTGCTCGCCTGGCGGAGCAGACGTCGACGCGCAGCACGGCGCCGGTGCAGCCGACGACCGGCAAGGTGCGCAGCGAGATGGAGCGCGAATGCGACGCCGCACTGGCACGTGCGCCGGCGGGCAGCCCGACACTCGAGACGAACGCGCTGGTCCAATCTCTGGCGGCACTGCTGCTGGGTCCGGGAGCGGCGATGGGCCTCTGGTGGGCGCACGGCGAGGAGCGTGCGGGTTGGATGGCGCGCCGTAGCTGGCGCGAGACGGCGGCGATCAGCACAAAGAAGCCCGAGTGAGGCGGGGCGAGTGGGAGCAGATGACGAAGAGGTGGGGTGGGAGGGCATTCGGCTGCAGCGCAATCAATCAACGATCATTGTCCTCTGTGCGCACTACATTGGCCGTGCAAATTGCTTCCGTGTGGGCGCGCGCACCGCGAGCGAGAGCGTCCGTAAGGTCGAGCGCAGACGAGCGTCGCTACCACCGTCGCGTACGAGAGGGGGGCCAGAGTTGGCCGTGGCTTGGGCGTGTGGGCGTCTGGCGTGGGCGTCGTCTCGGGCCGTTGACAAGCGCCCATGCGCCAACGCTAGCGGACGCCCACGCGCAGGTGCAGGCTTGGCCGGACCCAGCATCTCGCACCTCGGGTCGGGCGACGGCGTGGGACAGGCCCGTGCGGCGCAGTGGCATCGAATGCTGGCCGGCGGCGAAGGAGGCGGGGTCGAGCGTTGCTGCTGCACCTACGCCCACGCCAACGCCATCTGGGCGAGGCGCACTCGGCGACTTGGCGCGCGAGCGCGCTAAGAAGACGCCGCGCGCGCGCGCGCAGCAGACTCGCCCGCTCCCACGCGTGTGGCGCCCTAGCGACGCCTCGGGTCGCAGCAGGCTGCCGTGTCGTGATGTCGGAGGCAGCGCAGCATGCAAATGCTTCCGCTCGACGTCGGCCAAGCTAGAGCAACCTAGGAATAGCAGCAGCCGTGGCAGCGCGGGGATGTGGCGCTGGCGACCGCGCGCGCGTAGCGACGCCGCCGTGCTGCTCCATCGTCGCGATCCCGCTGCTTGCCATGTTCGCGCTAGCTTTGCCGACGGCCAAGAGGAGCATGTCATCGAGATGCAGCGTATGGCAGGGCGTGTCATGGCCATCGCTGCGTTGTGGGCAAAGATGTCAGGCGGAGGCAAGGGTATAAAGGGCGCGGGTCGAGCGAGTCCACTCTGCCCTCTCCTCACAATCCCTTGTCACCTTTTCCTCTCTTCTCAGTAGCTGGTCTACTCTTCCTTGTTTGAAGCGTTCTCGCACACTCTTTGCACACTTTCATCACCACTTCACCTTTTCGACTCACACAATGCAGCTCTCCGTCGCGTACGTCGCTCTCGCGCTCGCCTCGCTCGCCGCCGCCGCGCCAATCCAGCAGCAGCGCGGCTTTGGCGACTGGGTCTCGCAGCATGCCAACGGTCTTCAGGATGCTGCAGCAAGTGCAGCCGGCCTCGGAGTTGCCGGTCCCGTCGGCGCCATCGCCGGCAAGCATATTTCGGACCACCTGCAAGGCGATCGCCGCGCGGTGCTCGTTGAGGACGACGCGGGCGTCCGCCGTTGGAACCCCATCTCTGAAATCAAGGAGCACGCCAATGGACTCACAGACATCGGCGCGGGTATCGCGGGTGGAGTCGCTGGCTCTCCCGGGGGGATTGGTGGTGTCTTGGGCGGTGCAACGGCCGGCATTGCACTTTCCGACAAGCTGCAGGGCGAGCGACGCGAACTTTTTGGCGAGCGTGGCACTCCGATGGACTGGATCGAAGACAACCAGGATACGATTCAGGATCTGGCTGGCATCGGGATCGGAGCGGCTCTCGGATCGGCTGGAGGGCCCGTCGGGGCGGTCGGCGGTGCAGCTGCTGGCGCTGCCGTGACCAACTCGATCCAGGACTCCTTCGACAACCGCCGCGCCCTCGATGACCGTGGCGTCCTCGATTGGATGGAGGAGCACCGCAACGGCGTTCAAGACGCCACGATGGGTACGATCGGGGGCATCTTGGGCGCTCCCGGAGGGGCGGCTGGTGTGATTGGCGGCGCCGCAGCGGGCGCCGAGCTGAGCGACAAGTTCCAGGGCGAGCGGCGCATGCTGCGCGTCGCGCCGGAGCCGCGCCCTTATACGACGCTTCCCTACGTCCGTCCCGACGGCCCTCGCTTCCACACGCATCCCGTCGTCGCTCGTGGCGTCGTTGAAGATCTCAAGCAGACGGCCGAAGGCGTGGCGCAGGCCGTCGACGAGCACGCCGATGACGCCGCACACGCGTTCCTCGAGCAGGGCCGCAAGGCGGCCCTCGCCGTCGCCGATCATCTGCAGGCTCGTCGTGCTGTCACTGATGAGCCGGGCAAGAAGCTCATCGATGATGCTCACAAGGCGCTCGTCGAGTTTGCAAAGCACGTCAAGCCGGTCACGCTCGTCGCCTGAGACACACGCGCGCGAGTGACACGTCCGCGCGCGGCGCGCGCGCGTCTCGCGGCGCTCGTGGCCCGTGCGCCCTCCGCCTTCCCCACCCCTCACTCCCTTCTATAATGAGCGCACAGCCTGCTGGCAGGCCGTCGTCGCACCCTCTCTAATGCTATGCTTCACTCGTGTGCAACATGATCATTGCTCAGGCTCCTGACCGCTTAAAGGAGAAGGGATTCTGCGTGGCGCGAGAGTGCGAGTCAGCTCGCGCTCTGATGACGCGCCAACATGCGCCTCACCTTCATCTTCTTCTTCTCCTTTCCGGCCTTCGGGTCGCTCTGCGTGCTCATCGCACTCGGCGCTGGACTCTGGCGGCCAGAGCCGGCTGCCATCTGAGCGCCAGACGACGGACCATAGCTCTGTGCCGGTGCACGTCCTCCTTGTGGCCGCATCGGCGGCGCACTGGGCGGCGGCGAGATCTGCGGCTGTTCGGCGGCCTGGAAGCGGCGGTCGTAGCTGGACTGGTTCGGCGGGAAGCTGGTGCTGCCGTTTGAGCGATGCGCAGGCGCAGACTGAGGCACCGAGGCGTGCGGTTGGCTGTGATGATGCTGGTGGTGGTGGTGGTGCGCGCCGTGGCCATTGTCGGCATAGTCGGCATGCTGACGAGAGCCGCCGCGGGCGCGGTCAGCTTGCGCTCGAATGCCGCTCGAGTCGTTGTCCGGCTTTGAGAAATGGCTAGCGCCGGCGGGCAGGCTGCCGCTGCGAGGGCTCGGCGCACCTGACCCGCCGGCCTTGCCGAAGCGCTTGAGCGACTCGATGAAGCTCTCGGGCGTGATGGTGTGCGAGGAGCCTGCAGAAGGGTTAGTCTAGATGTTCACATCGAAGACGTACACGACTCACCGATGTACACGTCGCGGCCGAGCTTCTCGCTGACCTGGTACGCGCTGCGAATCTCCGAGTACGTCATGCCGCCGGCGACGAACACAATGACGCGCTGGCGATTGTCGTTGCGCTCGGCGCCCGCGCCGCCTGCGCCACCTGCGCCCGGCCGGCCCTTCTGGTGCCACGTCGGCTTGGCGGTGCGCAGACTGCTCGGTGCTGCTCGCGGTGCGCCGACGGCCGGCGACGACGAGCGCGAGCTGCCGAGCGGGTTGCCGAGGCCCGACGCCAGGCCCGTCTCGGCCGGCGCGTCGCGGACGTACGGGTACGTCGTCTGGTCGAGGCGGCCGGCAAAGTGGTCCTCGAGCATGAGCTTCACCAGCGGCTGGTAGCGGCTCAGCTCGTACTCGTTCTCGCCCGGCACCTGGCGCCGCTTGCCCTTGCGGAACCAGGCGTCCCAGCCGCTGTTCTGCGGGTCTTTCACAACGCGCGCGCCGAGGTGCACCAGATTGTCCACCGCCGCCATCTCCTGCAGGCCGAGGCGCGCGTGCTGGAAGAGGCGCTTGCGGTCCTCGTCCGGCACGCCCTCGGAGTACATGATGTACAGCGCAATGATGCGCACCTTGTCGGCGTTGCTGAGATGCCGGTCGTCGAGCAGCGGCACCATCTCCTCGACGAGCGTGCGCGGCTTCTGCCCTTCTGGCGTGGTGCGCGTGGCGCAGTTCTGCTCGACCATGGCCTGCTGCGGCAGACGCGTCTTTTCAAAGATGTTCATCGCCTCCTGCGCCATCGTGAGGTGCAGACTGAGCGCGTCCTTCGTCTCTTGCATCTCGGGCAGATTCGCCAGCAGATCGCGCATGTCCGAGAGGCTGCTGCCCTCGTTGAGCTGCGCCGAGCCGGCGTGGCTGGCAAAGTCGCGCGTGAGGCGGTCGATGGCCTCGGCGATGTGCAGATGCCGAATCGCGCACCACACGGCGTCCTCGTCGCTCAGGCGCGCCGTCTTGTCCTCCTTTTGCCCCTCGGCATTGACGAAGCGGTACGAGTACGACGTGCCGTCGTCGTCGAGCCTCAGCAGGTCGTTGACCATGGCCTGGTAGCTGAACTCGTGCAGAAACGGCGCGACCGTGTCCATCGTGCGGTCGGTGATGAACATGACGCCGCGCGGCCGCGTCTCGGGCTTCGGCGGGTTGTCGGCGACGTAGGCGTCGATCGCTGCCTGCAGGCGCATCGCCAGCTTGCGCGTAAAGTGCTCGCCGCCGGACGGGCCCGAGGTGGACGCCGCACTGGCATCTGCGCCGCGCAGCCGCGCCATGCGCATGCTGCCGCCATAGCCGCTGGCCGGCGCCGTGCTCGGGCCGGGCGAGCTGCCGGGCACGGGCGTGAGGGGGCCGAGCGGCGGATGTGAGGGATTGTAGTAGCGAATGAGCGGAAACTCGTTGAGCGTCACGCAGACGTTGAGCAGCGTCTGCACCGTGTACTGCAGCTCGTCCTCGATGGCCGCCAGGCTTTCTGCCGGGTCGAGGCCCCACGAGCCGCCCGGCGGCTGGAAGAGCGTGTAGAGGCTCTGCGGCGTCTTGAGCGAGAAGACCTGCGCCTCGGTCGCTGCAAGAAATGCGATCAGATGCAGGCCACGGACGCTGCCGCCTGGACACCCGCAGCACTCACGCCAGAAGTTGTTGTACAGCTCGATGAGCTGCCGCAGCCGCGGCTCGGCGGGCGAGCTCGTCAGGCGCTGCAGGAGCGCATCAGACAGGGCTGTGAGGGGGTCAGCAGAGCAGAACCAGACCGCTGCGGCGAGCGCATGCGTGATGCGACACGGCAGCAGCGGTGTGCGACACGGCCGCAGCGTGGTGCGATGCGGCAGCGGCACGCATAGCCCAACCCGGCAGCAGCTTGCGGCAACCGGCCCAGCAGCACCTCAGCCGCACCTCGGACCAGCACTGCCCACTCACCATCGACGAAGAAGACGTGTCCCGCCGCATACTGCGTCCTCCCATCTGCGCCCGGCGTCAAGTCTCTGATGATGCGCTCGACGTTCTGGCTCGTCGGGCAGAGCAGGTATGCGGCCTCGTAGTCGGGCTGCGCATCGCGGCGGCCCTCGATGACCTCGACGACCGTGACGTTCTCGCGCAGGATGGCGTCGAGCTTGAGCAGCGCATTGAGATGCGTGCGTGTGAAGCCGTCGACGACGAGGATCTTCCAGCGCGTCGGCGGCTGCACGGAGCGGATCGTGGTCAGGTAGCCTGCGCGGCCGGGGTGTCAGCTGAGGCATGGCCTGTGCGGCGATGAGGCCGCACGCACGCTCGCGCGACGCTGCGATGAGCGACTTGGGCGCCATGGCGCGGGGCCGGCACCGGAGCGGGGTGGAGAGCGGCCGAGCGAGGTGCTGAGAGCGAGTGTGGCGGTGCGGTGTGCGGAGGAGCGGCAGGGTGCTGGTGGTGGTGGGCGCACACGAGGCGGCGCCCGATCGTCGGCGCGCGCCAGCAGCGGCAGCTCAGCACGGGCAGCGGCAGGGCGCGTGCGTGCAGCAGTGCCGTGCGCCGCGGGTCATCGCGCATGGGCGCGCCGCCGCGCGTAAGTCCGGGGCACACCGCCTGCGCTGCTGCCCGCCAGGCACGGGAGCAGCAGAGCCGAGGGCGTGGGACAAAAGGCGGGGGGGGCGCTGGCGGCGCGAAGCCGGCCGTCACCCGTGCGCTGCTTTGCGGGCCCCTGGCAGGCGCTGCTCAAGGGGCGGGGGCTGCGGCAGCGCCAGGGGCACGCTCGGGTACGCCTCGGAGGCCCAGCGCTGCAGGCTTCGTCATCCACCGAGAGGACATTGAGCGACGGCGAGCTCATGACAGGGCAGAGGATCGGCGCTGGCTCGGCATGCTCAGCCGGCACGTTGAGCCGGCATGCTGAGCGGAGGAGCGGGCCCCGGCCGCAGCAAGGGTAGCAGCTGCCGCAACGCAGAGGTGGCGCTGTAAGGAGGCGGCCGCCTCGAGGACGTCCAGCGAATGGCGCAGCGACCGGAACTGAAACTTCGGTACGCGCGCTTTGGACGTGCTCGCCACCGAAGGGGACGGGTGAGACAAGACATCGCGAGCGGCGATCGAGGGCCGCGAGCCGAGCAGGCGCCCTCGATTGTCAACCTTCCGCTCTCGAGAGCTGAACAGAGCAAGCAGACACAACGACAGACGCGAGATAAGAAGCAGAAGAGATGCTGATTGACACCAAGGGCGCGCACACTCGCAGGGCGGCGGCGGCAGACAGACTTGGAGAACAGAAGGACGCTAAGAGACGCGGAGGGCTAGAGAAGGATGGTGTGGGTGCGGCGCCGAGAGAGCGCGCGGGTCATCATGAGGAGCCGAGACTGGAGACTGGAGGCGAGAGAAGGAGAAGGGTGACGGGACGCTGTCTCGAGAGACGGCTAGAGTTCGACACAGGTGTACGTCGTGCCAGCAAAAGGGAGCGTCGTGACGAGGCAGACGCTGGCGAGGTCGAGCGGCAGGTTGATGTTGATGTTGCACTTCTTCGGACCGCAGGTAACCTCGCAGCCAGTGCCGTTGCACGTCGATCCGGCCGGGCAGAGCTTGCCAGTCGATCCGCATGTCGCCTGGCAAGAGCCGCCGCTGCAGAGCGAGCCGGAGCCGCACGGAGCGCCCGTAAGACCGCAGTTCGGCTTGCACTGGTCTGCCACGCAGGTGTTTCCCGACGTGCACGGTGCTCCGGTGCCGCAGTTGGCCTTGCAAATGCTGGCCGCGGCGCTGGTGCACGTTTCGCCGGCAGCGCAGTTCTTCGTACCGCAGTCGAACGTCGGAGCCGGTGCCTGGCACGTCGCGGAGCTGCCGGTGCCCGAGCAAACTTGGCCGTTCGAGCAAGGAGCGTTCGTCGATCCACAGTTGGCGACGCACGTGCTCGTGAGCGAGTTCGAGCACGATTCGCCGCTAGCGCAGTTCTTTGTACCGCAGTCGAACGTCGGGAGCGTCTGGCACGTCGCGCTGCTTCCCGTGCCCGAGCAGACGGCCGGCAGGGTGCAAAGACCTCCCGTGCTTCCACAGTTGGCGACGCAGGTGCTCGTAGCCTTGCTCGCGCACGACTGGCCGCTGGGGCAGTTGACCGTGCCGCAGTCGAAGCTCGGAGGCGCCGAGCAAGTCGAAGTGAGCTTGTCCGTGCACGTTTGGCCGCTAGGGCAGTTGACCGTGCCGCAGTCGAATGTTGGCGTCGGCGTCGTGCCGACCTGGACATCGACACAAATGAGGTCGAACAGGCCCAGCGAGACGCTGATGAGCGAAGCCTTCTTAGCGCACTGCTTGCCGTCGCCGCAGTCCTTTGTGCAGGTCGGGTCGCTTCCGGTCGGTGCTGCGACGCACTTGGGAGCTGCTGCGTCCGACTTGTCACACACCTGAGTCGTAGGGTCACATGTGGCTGATCCGCAGTTCGAGGTAGGCGCAACGGCAACGTCGACGCAGAGCAGCTGACTCAGGCCGAGCTCGACCGACAGGAGGCTGCTCTTGCACTCCTTGCCGCTGGCGCACGCCGTCGAGCAGCCGGTAGCGGGGTTCGACGGCGTAGCGATGCACTTGGGAATCAGGCCCGACATGTCGCAAACTTGAGTCGCAGCATCGCACGTCGCCGCAAGGCCGCAATTCGGCGTCGGCGTCGTCGGGTTCTTGCACACACCGAGCTGTCCGATGCCGACGCAAGTCTGAGGTGCCTGGCACGGCCCGCCGGTAAGTCCGCAGTCGTCTACGCAAGTGGAAGTTGCCGCGTCCGAGCAGCTCTGGAGCGCTCCGCAGTTGACCGTGCCGCAGTCGAACGTCGGCGTCGGGTCCTTGCAGATTCCGAGCTGTCCGAGGCCGACACACGTCTGAGGTGCTTCGCACGGCGCGCCGGTGAGTCCGCAATTGTCGACGCAAGTGGAAGTGGCGGCATCCGAGCAGCTCTGGAGCAGGCCGCAGTTGACGGTGCCGCACGTGTACGTAGGCTCTGGCGCCTTTGGCTCGCAGACCGCGAGGGCGTCAACGCCCAGGCACTCCTCGCCGTCGGAACAAGGCGCGCCAGTGAGGCCGCAGTGGTCGACGCAGCTCGAAGTCGCGGCATCGGTGCAGGTCTGAGTAGCGGAGCAGGTCACCGTTCCGCAGGTCGGCGTTGACGTTGTCGTGACACACTTGGGAAGGAGTGGGTTCGAACGGTCGCAGCTCTGGCCGTTGGCACAGCCGCTCAGCGCGAGGCCACACGCCGACGGGTTGCCGAGGTTGATGCATGCCGAGGCGAGGTTCAGAAGGCCGCACGTTTCGCCTGCGTTGCAGCCAGACGGGCATGACGGGTCCGTTCCGACGCCGACGTCAACGCACACGAACTCGGAGAGGTTGAGGTCGAGGTCCAGGAAGTTCTTGCGGCACGTCTGAGTCGCGCCGCACGGCTCGGCACAGTCCGACGGAGGCGTCGTGGCGTCGGGCTTGCAAGTGGGCACGACGCCGCTCGTGTCGCACGTCGAGCCACTGGGGCATCCCTGGACAGCCACACCGCACGGTGTCGGAGTCGGCGTCGTGTCAGGCACGCACTTGGGGTCGAGTGGCTCGGACTTGTCGCACCGCTCGCCGTCGGGGCATCCAGACAGAGCGTTCAGGCCGCACGCCTCGGGCACCTCGACATCAACGCAGACGAGCTCGAAGAGGTTGACCTCGAGGTCAACCAGCAGCGGCTTGCGAGTGCACTTTTGAGTCGAGGCGCATGCCTTGTCGCAGGTCGGCTCGCCAGTGGTCGCCGGCACACACTTGAAAGGAAGGCCTGACTTGTCGCACGACTCGCTGGCAGTGCAGGTGTCCAGGCCACAGTTCGGGGCCGGCGGGAGGACGTCCGGCTTGCAGTAAGGCAGCGCGCCGCTCTTGTCGCACGTCGTCTGAGCTGGGCAAGCCGGAAGCGCGCCACAGGCATTTGACGGCACGTCGGGTGTGCAGACGCCGCTCGAGCACGACGAGCCGGACGGGCAGCCGTTGGGGAGAGCGCCGCACGGCGTCGGGTTCTGGGGCAGGATGCCGATGTCGATGCAGAGGAGGCCCTGGACATTGGCCACGATGTCGATCAGCGAGTTTGTGCAGCGCTGCGTTGCCGAGCACTGGTTGCCGTCGCACAGGCACTGGCCGCCGACACACGTCTCGCCATTTTCACATGGCGTCGTACACGTCGAGGGCGTCGAGGGCGTCGGCGTCACGCACGAGCCGCTCTGGCAGACCAGGGGCGACGTGCATGCTGGGCCGGTGCCACAGCCAGTGGGCGGTGGCGTGACGCACTTCGGAATGGTCAAGAAGCCGACGCTGACCGTCGAGCACGTCTCGTCGTCGGAGCACTCGCCGTCCGTGCCGCAGATGCACTTGCCCAGGATGCACTCCGAGCTGCCAGGGCAGCCGCCCTCACACGGAAGGACCGGCGGCAGCTCAGTGTCCTTGACGCATTCGTCGCTCTTGCACGAGTAGCCCAGTCCGCAGCCAGCCGTGTTTGTGCCGCACGGCGTGGGGTTCGTGGGGTTCGGCAGGATGCCCACGTCGACACAGAGGAGCTTGCTGACGTCGAGGACGATCTCGATGAGCGAGTTGGGGTCGCGGCAGACCTTGTCGGTTGCACAGACAGCGCCGTTGCACTTGCAGACGCCGTCCGTCGTGTCGCAGACCTCGTTGGTGCCACAGGCCGGGCAGCTCTTGGGCGGGGTGACCGGCGTCGTGGGCTGGCAGCTCGGAAGCAGCGGCACGTTCTCGAGGCGGGGGAAGAGCGACGGCGGCGTGCAGGTCTCGTCGGCCTTGCACTCGTCGAGACCGCCGCAGAGGCACTTGCCAGCGACGCAGAGCGCCGGCAGAGGGCACTCCTTGTCGCAAGTCAGCGTCGGCGGCGTGGTGGGCACGCACGAGCCGAGGACACATGTCGAGTCTTGCCCGCAGGCAGGGGTGCACTGCGTCGGCGGCGT